AGTTTGGAAAACCCCACCTCAAGTTGAATAGATTATAAGGCAAGGGACAGTCCCCCCCTGCCTCCTCCTCCGCACAGACACACACATTCCATCATGCAACCTCTGGGAAGTTCATTGAGGAGTGCTCTAGGCAAGCACTGTGCTAACTCTTAGGGAATACACAGGTGAATAAAATAGCACCTCGTTCCTCCAGGAGTTCAGTGTAAATCTACCACTAAGTCTTTGGCTTTCACAACAAAAAAAAAATCTCACCCCTTACCCAGGGTACACCTGTCTTTACCTTAAAAAAGAGAATACAGCAGGAAGTCAGAATTAACTATCTGGCTGATCCGCTACTAGAAATAACATCCTCTAACCAGGGATTATTCGTTTGTTGTCATAATTAAACTTATCAGAAATAGTTGCCAAATTCCCTTCTTTATCCGATTCTAGATGATTAGGAGAAGATCAGTGTGACTCCATGGGAATTAAAGACCCAGGGGAGTTCTCTTTAGCACCCAACTCCGAGTCTAGAACCTCCTGGGCTTGTCACTTATAGAAAAGAGGCCGCTAATGATGTCAGATTTGGCCTATCAGTGATTTCAGATAATTCTGTCTCAAGGACCACGTTTCTTTGACTTGCTTTCAACACTTCATGGCAAAACTGTGACTGAAATGTGGTGTGTGTTCTGCGGTGGCCCTCTGTCACTGAGAGGAAATCACAGCAATGAGAACAAATCCCGTTCTGGCCCAGACCTGACGCTGGTGCAAGGGGCTGCAGTCCTTCAGAGCCTCTCAGAACTTAAAAGAACGGCTATAGAGTGTCTTTGGTGGAAAGTGGGTGACAGAGAAAGCAAGTGGAGTTTCTCGTTACGGAGGTATTCACATTGGTAAAGAAGAAACGAAAGAAGAACTGGAATATCACCATTTTTATATGAGTCATGAAGCCCAGGTGAATTATGACTACTAGTATCATTAAAATATAGACAACCAGACAGAATTCCTGCCCGACCATCTCACTTGGGCTTGGTCAAGCCTCTCAATGTGACCACCAACTTATAGGAAATGCAGGGGACCCGAGATAGAACCAATAAACTCCAGGATGTGAGGAATTCAACCAAACAAACCATGTAGTTTTTTCAATAAATAAATTGCAAGGCAAAGATATAAAAGGAATGGAATGGGGAACTATAGATTAAAAGAGACTTAACAGACCTGTCCACCAATTGTACTACATGGACCTTGTTAGGAAACACACACACACACACACACACACACACACAATTGGTGAAATTTAAAAATAGGCGGCGTATTTCATGATGATCTGGATTATCATTCATTTTCAAGGTATAATGGGATACTGTGATTGTTTTCTAAAATAGTCCTTGTCTTTTAAAAATACATACTAAAATACTTACAGATAAGAAATGAAGTGAGAAGGAGAGAAAGAAGGAAGGAAAGAAGAGAGGGTGGGCCATTTTTGATGTGAACTTGTTTTATAGAATTTCAGAAATAAAGAATTGATAAAAGAGGCCCCTGTTGCATTTTGTGCAGAATTTGGCCACAAACTTGAAAACCTCTGAGGCTGTAGAACCTGATATGTCCACTTAATCAGCAAAGCACGATATTTTACACAAAGGAGAAGGTGAGGAGTTGGGTTCTGACTTTATGAAGGATATAAAATGGAAAAATTCATTTTCTAAGAGTGTATATTGTGACCAACTTTGCCAGTGTTCGTTTATTCTATAAAGGAGAAGATACCCATGACTACAGAAAGTATAAGCCCTGTTGCTGAGGAGAAAAAAATGAAAGCACGGATCTCATTCCAAATAAGGACCTGCTGTGCCACCCAAGCAGCAGAGGGAAGCCTCGTCTGGGAATGGGGAGGAGTCGGAGTCGCTATTTACTGAACTCTTTCCACAGGCTCTCAGCATGCACCGCCTCATGTCATCGGTGCAACGACTCAGCAATGACAAGACAGGCCTATCACTTTACAGATGAAGAGACTGAAGCACAGGGTAGCTTGCTCAAGGTCAAAATGGCAGAGCTGGGATTCTCTCTAGATCCCATGACTCCTTTACACTACAAAATGCTGATGACCTGAGCAGCTGGTGAAAGAGACAGGAGAAACACCTTGAGGGGGTGGAGCATGGGGCAAAGGTGTGTTACAACTGGGCCAATAAAACTCAAACACACTTTTTTTCTTTTTGACTGTTGACTGTTTCTGTTAACTTCCTCCAGGCATTCCACTATAACCCTTCTTTTGCCGGCAGACCCAGCCGCCCTGTCTTCAGAGAGTCTCCCCTCAGGCCATTTGATCTTTCAGCAGGAGCTTGGGTCAGCGGTTCTCAATCTTCCTAATGCCTGCAACCCTTTAATACAGTTCCTCATGTTGTGGTGACCCCCAACCATAAAATTATTTTTGTTGCTACTCTATAACTGTAATTTTGCTACTGTTATGAATCGTAATGTAAGTATCTTTTTGTTTTCTGATGGTCTTAGGCAACCCCTATTAAAAGGTCGTTTGACCCCCAAAGGTGTCGCAACCCACAGGTTGAGAACCGCTGGCTTGGGTGCTCTTTAGCTCATTTGTGATATCTACTGGTTCTTTTCCACGAGTCCAAAAATAGGATGGCCAAAAAGGGTGAAGGGTCCCTCTCTTCGGGCTAACTTCTTTGGGTGAAATCCCACTTTTTCCAAATTAAGGGCCACTTTAAACTACTTTTCCTTTTTCTAAGTAGCCTCACTTTTATTTTTTTTAAAATTTCCTCCTGTAATTCTTATACTGTCCGGAAACCTCTGACTTTCTGAATTCTGTACTGAGCCTCAAATCTCTTAGCAGATTTCTATGTTTCATTACTTTTTGTAATTTTTTAATTACTCAATACATACACAAGCACAGGATTAAAAAAAAAATCTGTCAACTATAAAAGGAACACCAGCTAGGATGGTAGGCTCCTTCTTTACTTGGAATAGATGAGATCTTGATTGATGATTGGCAGATGACCCCCCCTCCCCTTGTTAAGGATATGTGAAGGACATAACTTCTAATAAGAGTAACATGCCCTTATGGGGGCAAACCGGTTGCAGTTTGCCACCAGATGGTGAGGGTAGCCTTTCCTTTCTCCACGCCTGCATCACCGCGACAGCTGAGAGCTTTAATAAAGCAAAATGTGCCTAGGAATGTGGGGTGAGGAAGCTGCCCAGAACACGGAGGTCTATTTCCACCCCTGCCAATAATCCCACTGCTAAAAACAGCCAAGGCTGAGAGGTTCTGAGGCTGCTCGCTGGAGCCCAGCCATGATCCGGTTACTCTGAGTGATGCCGAGACAATCCGGAGGCACTCGGGCCCTAGCGGGGGACCATCAGGAGCCAGGGGCCCAGGATGACACTGATTATTTTTAGCTAAGATGTTTTAGGCTTTCCATGGCAGCACAGAGCAAGAAGTCCCAACGCCTGGGCATTTGTGGGCCTTCTCTATGTTCTCTCAAATGAGATGTGTCTCTCCTTTAGGAGACCTGAGGAGATTCAGGGGAGCAAGTGATGGACACTCTTAAGCTGCCTTGGTCAAGAACCCTGACACCAGCTTACTGAGAGAAGGGTTGGCTTAGATACAGAAAATGGACCCCTGTTAGTGACAGAGGGCTACCCAGTGATCCAGGAATACAAAAATAAATGGGACAGGAACTTGAAGTTCAAGGACAGTTAAGGAAATATAAGTACTCAAATAATAATGATGAGAAACAAAACACAGAGTTAATGGGAACTTGAGAAGGTGACAGGATCACATGCTTTTATACTCCGAGACCAAAAGAAAGTCAATGCCTTTAGCAATGAGCACAGTGCTCTGTACACAGCAGGTGCTCAATTCATGTGTTGAACTGAATTCTGAGTAGAAAAAGTAAAGTGGTGGAGGAATCTGTGTGCCCATGGGGAAAATAAGCTCTTCCTATATTGACTTCTTGCCTCCGCCTATCAGTAATAAAGAGACACCAATAACCCAGAAGTCGTCCTTCACAAATGTGTGAGCAATCCTAACCATGAACTTGATTTTATTGACTTTCTGAAGCAATGGGTGTGGGCACAGCTGTTTGCAATTCAAACTGGCTCATAAGCCTGAGGAGAGAATCAAATATCAGAGAGGAGGCCCTTGGGGGTGGAGTGCTGCCCTGTGAAGACAGAACCTTGTCAGCTCATGTGCCCCGGCAGCCACAGCCTCCACCTCCCTCCAGCTTTACACTAGAAGTTCCAGGTCTGTGTTTCTTTACACATTTAATCACTCATATATCATTTACCAACTAGGAGCACAGAAATAGGAAATGGGCAAAGCAGAAGGCCCCAAGAATGCTAGACCAGGAAAAGGGGAAGAGAATGCCTGTTCTGAGGTCCCAAGGCACACAGTGGGGAGGGCAGGTGGGTGGGTGGAGGGACAGACAATTCCAAATGTGGCTCAGCCTGTGCTCAGGGCCAGATGAGCCTCCGCAGCAGCTGCGCCTATTTTGGGCCTGGGGTCTCTGTCCCGTGGGCAACAGGTGTAGTGACCTAAAGAATAAGGGTGCTTATTATCCAGGCATCCTGACATCATTCCAGGGGCAAAAGCCAGCCTTTCAAATAATGGTTCTCAGCCAGAAACATACAATTTCCTCCTTCTTTGCTTCCACGGCGGCCCACCAGCCTGTGGCCATCTGAGCCTGTCTCATCTCCACCCCACAGGCTTGCTCAGAAACCTGCAGGTTTCTGGAAGGCGGTGTGTTTGGGATGTGAGCCCCTCTCTGGGTTATGCATGTTCTACTCACAATTCACGGTCAGCTACGTGAGAAGCCCACAGAGCAGAATCAAGTCACAGAGGCAGAGAGAAGTTGCCCCTTTCTCAAAACCCACCCCAAGGCTTAGCGTCCGGTGCCTGACCCACTGTTCTGGGAAAGGAATGACAACAGCAGCTAGTTAGAAGAGCGTGCCTGCATGCTGCCAGACAATGTTTTAGGCAGTCCTCTAGCATCAAGTACCCAGTATCATCCTACCGCCATCCCAGGAGGCAGCAAGGCCGTCGACTTCACACGTGATGATCCCTGTTGGAAAGTAAATTAAAAGGGCCCGAGTTTTTACCTTTGTGAGTGACTTGATTTCAGTCCCATGGCAAATCCAGACCACAACAGGGTCTTACCTGCAGTGTAATGAGTGATCGATAAACACACACTGATTGAATTTGATGTGGCCACAATTAATCTCCCGTGGCCAAGGGTGTGCAGCCTCATGGGGCTCATTTTCACCTTTTAAGAGGTTCCCTGGGACATGGCAGAATAAGAGCCGCTCCCTTTGGGAAGATCGAACTTCAGCCTTGAGCTCAGCAGGTCCTGTTGCAATCTGAGGGAGCCTTAAATAGTGTCTCCTGCCACCTGTTTCTCCCCCCTTCTTCTGTGACCCCTTAGAGAGGGATCAGAGGGGAGCATCAGCCTGGAATCAGTCCTGTCAGCAATGAGTGACTCCCAAACTTCTGAACCCCCAACAGCTCCACAGCTGGGTTTCAAATTCCTGACTCTGATCCCAGGGACATTTCTGCTGCCTGAGTGGCCGAGTGCTGACACACAGTTAAGGCTCATTCCACCTGGGTTCCCTCCCATCCTTCTTCCTTTACACTCTGTCTTGTTTAATCCTGAATAATCGACTGCTTTTGTTTCATTATCTGGAATATGGGGTCGAAGATGAACGTGTCCCTCCCCCCCCTTTTTTTTGTGGCTCGAGCCATCTCTGTAAGGAAATATTTATAGCAGTTCCATGTTTTAAATCACCCTGAGCTCCTGAGATAAAAAGACAGTTTGAATATGAATCATTACTCTACAGCAAAAGGAAAAAACAATTTTGACAGGGCTCCTTCCTGCCTTTCATGGTTCCATTGAAACGCCTTTTGGAATTTTAAGGCTGGTGATAGGAAGATGTGGTGATTTACACGGTTCATAAGCCATTTGGCCAGAAGAGTGTATAAGGTTCAAGGCAACCCTATACACCCAAAGA